TTTGGCGGTTAATATTTCAGAAGGACGCCGCAATGTGCAATCCAGCCTTCCAGTAATGTTGCCACCACTGTCCTTGCATTAATATCGGCCATAGGGATAGCAACTGGCCATCTGGTAAAGCGATCAATGCCAGTTAAACAGTAGTTGAATCCATTTGACATTGGTAATGGCTCTATGATACCGATATGTAGTGAGGAAAATCGTTGCTCTGGTAGAAACTACCAAATATTGTTTGATTATATCTGGATGCCTTGGTGCGTTGGCATGGGTTACAAGATCTTACCATTTTCGTTATTTTCTTTTTTCATGCCTGTCCAAACGAAACGCTCGCATATTTGTTTTATCGATGATATACTTCCTGGATTGTGTATCGCCCGGAAAACTTGGTGTGGATGTTCTTGAGGAACCCAGGGAAGAGCTTGTAGAGTTGATATTTTTAGTTAACAGGTTTTTTAATTCGGCGTCGTCTTTCTGTCTCTCAGCTAACTTGTTGAATTCGATCTGTTCGTAACTATTTATTTCATCGATGTGTTGTTTGTCTTTCGTAAACTGTCCGACGCCTTTTCGGGTTTCTGTTAGAACTCAAAAATGATAGGCTTGTGGTCTGTCAAAACTGTGCATTTTCTACCTTCGATCATGTGCACAAAGTGTTTTATGGCTTCGTAAATGGCAAACAATTCTCTGTCATATGTGTTGCATCATTTTTGTGTTTCGGTTAGACGCTTTCAATAAGAACCGAGAGGTTCGATCTGTGTATGTGGTGCAATGCTGCACCTATTGCTCAGTTGTTTGCATTAAGGTGGACCATTGGTTTGTCATCTGTGGTTGGATATATTAATGTACTTGCAACTACGAGTGCTTTTTTGTGTGTGACAAAAGCCGATTCAGCACCTTCTGTCCATTCCAATTAAGTTTTGTCATTAGTTTGATTGGTTTTTATAAGTTTCTGCATTTTATTCTGAATTGCAGCTGCACCAGATATGAAACGTCGATAGAAATTAACCGTAGCTAGAAATCGTCTTAACTCCTGAACCGTGTTTGGTTTTGGGAAGTTTAGTATTGCTTCTAATCTATCCTTTAGTGGATGGTATGACCCAAAAACTTTACTTCTTTTTAGCCAAAGACGCATTTTGAAACGTTCAGCTTAAGTCCGTACTGCTGAAGTCGCTCGAATACTATGCACAAATTGATCTATATGTAAGATAAATGTACATATATAATATGGTGCATTTTTTGGTTCCTTGATTACGTTCCACTAACCTACAAACACGACTATAACAACAACAAGATAACTTTACTTATTGATTGCTTACACTTATCATCACTTGCTTCCAATCGGTTCATGTTCTAGTCGCACAAAATAGCCAACATTCGTTTTGTTTCGCTCTAATTGATAGTTTTAGGTTTATCAAGGTCACGTACTACAATAACTACCACAAACACAGTTCAATATATTTCGGGAGTTTCGCTACTGCTATTGTGACTTCTTCGCTTTGTCAAAAACTTTTGCTTCTTTCATTTAGTCATAACCGTTTCAATGGTAACGGGAATTCCAATCGCCACGACAGAACTGTCAAAACTGAAGGAACAATGAGCTTCGACAAAATTTGGCATTTCAAGGATTGAAGCTCTCCTCAAAGGGAAGGGTAAATCGCTTTCACAATTGGAGCTTCACAATTGGAGCTAAAATGTCGATTAGATTTTCTATAACTATATTTCAAAGACTTTCTAGCATTTCAGATTTTGATTAAGAAATTAAATGCAACTGACACATCTGGAGCTAAACTAGGAGACCTATACATTTCTACTAAAATATTAATAATATCTCAACTGCACGAAGAGGCCCACATTGTATCGGTGCTAGATGCAACAGCAATGATGTCCACATTCAGCAATAAATTAGCACTGTTAAAATTACCTATGTTCAGTGATAAGTAATGTGGCTATAACATTTTCAAATACATTAAGTCAATTCTTACCTTCATGTGGTGTATCCTGGTTAAGCCTGATGACCCCTGTTATCATGACCCCCGTCAGGTGAACTAACGAGATCGGCGACTGTATATCTAGTCTACAGAGTTGACGGACCGAATGTGCTTTCTGCAAAACGATTTGACATAGAGATTCAATATACTGCATGTAGGCTTACAGGAGTGTCGCTCTACGAAAATAAGGTTCTATGCTAATGGCACTTCTATCTCCTTCCTGTTAAAACTGCGGTAGGTCTCGAGAAGCAATCTATGAGGGATATGATCGACTTGATCAAACTCCTGTACGGAATGGTGGAGTCCGACAACGACATATCGAGGCGAAGAAGATTGAAACGAGTAACAATTCCTTGCAGTCCCCTAAAATGGCATACATAAAAGAAATCGAGATGGTGTTTTCGGCCAAGCGACCCCACCGGAATCCACTCCCCCACCGAAAAGAGTCAAAGTTAAAGTCAGAAAGGCGGTGGGAGGATATGCTCCTTGGCAGGCCGAGCAAAACAACACCGGTACTTCCAACATCACGGCCACTGATTAAGGACCTACGACCACCGAAGCGTTGAATTAAAAAGTCGTCAAGAAAAAGAAGAAGATATCGAAGGTAAGATCGAAACTCGACTCGATCATAATCGAGGCAACGTCGAAAGAAACTACACGGAGATTCTTAAATCGATCAGAGGGAACGAATCGCTGAAACGTCTTATCGAAAATGTGTTCTAAATAAGGAGAACAGCAAGAAATGAGCTGCTTCTGAAGTTAAAGCCGACTAAAAAGAGTAGCAGAGTGGTGCTACAAGCAGCAGTAAATAAGGCGCCTGGTAAGATGGGCAATGGCGTGATCTAGCCGAGATTGCCTCAGTGTCTGAAATCTGAAAAGCTCTTCAGACAAAGCATATTCACAACCTGGAGAAGGATGCAGTGCGAATTGCCGCTAAGAACGGCATTTGTCAAACTACCAGTAGCAGATCTAGCTCTACTGCTGAAAACTGCAAAAATTCGCATCGTATGAATGCCCAAATGGCTTAAATCAATGGCAATTTGACTTCAGGAAGAATCGCTCGAAACTTGACGCAATCGACATGCTTGTCAACATGGCAAGGGGGACTACCTCAGGTACTAGATGGAGAGGTAGTTCGAAGGAATATTGTCCAGTACTTACACTTAACGTGAAGAATGCATTTAAATGGGCAAAGTGGTCGAGTTGCACGCGTCCTCACGGTTTTTGGAGTACTATAGTATCTTATTGGGATTGTGTGTATCCACTTCTAAGACCGAAGTGTGGAATATGTGTCTGATTATAGACTACATAAGTACGGAGTGTCATGTGGCGGCTTCTAGGGCTCGGTGTTGCGACACACACTCTGGAACGCCATGTACAATGCTGTATTAGATTCCGATCTTTCAGAAGGTTATCAACTGTCTGGCTATGCAGACGATTTGTCGCTGGACGATTACGGAAATGACAGTCAAATGCTCTGAATCAGTATTCAATATGAACGGTCTTAAGATCACGGGATAGAAGACCGAGGCAGTATTTATGACAACGACGAAGAAAAGGGATACCTATGCATTCCAATGTGAAAGTGTCGAAACCTACTGTAAGATATTTAGGGGTTATTTTCGACGCAAGAATTCGCTTCGGTGAACATTTTCTGGCAACTGAAGCGAAGGCGAACAGTATAGTCATACATATCCATAGAATTATAACAAATACCGCGGGAATTTATACCAGCAAGAGAAGAGTTGTAGCAGCAGTCTCGAGCTCGGTCTTGTTGTATGCGGCTCCAGTATGGGCCTCATGTCAGGTAGCTAGCGCCTGTAATGAACCCTTTTTGGTTCGTTTAAAGCTGGGGTTGAACTCAGCCGTCCCCAAGGTCCACACAAGAAATTTATTTAGTGAGACCCCGTCACTTCTGATTGCTCTTAATTACAGATACCTAGGTTCGAATACCAATCGGAATCACAGACACAAAGGAATCACTTGACTGAAATAGACACGATATAATACCAGCACGCGTGACTGTTAAAGCTACGTGAGTGGTATTACAGGTCGCTGATCACACGCCCTTCCCTGTTCACTGTTAAAGCGCCCAGGGGCCGGAGACGTTAGGTGACTATTAAAGCTACCTATCGTTTCCGACACTATGGTATAGACTCACGTGACTATTTAAGCTACTTGAGTTATACCCCGTACAACCGAGATTCAGTTACTATTGAAGCCCCGAATCTTTCTTACCTGTGTCTCTCACTTGTGTCGTTGTGCTGGATTCCCACCTTGATTTTACACCGATCAGGAGAAGCTAGTTTGTGTTGAACTCTATCAAAGCGGTAGTTATACCTATGAGCCCTCGCTATTATCCCTGTTTTGCTTTTATTTTAATAAAACACTTTTTTTCAATTTATTCGCTCGTTTAGTTTTTTTTTATTTTATTCATTAAATTTATTAATATTCATTTTATTATCATATAAATAGCTAAATACAAATTTAGTTTTATATTATTTTTTTTTTTAAATTAAGTACTCTTTACTCTACTTTAAGTCTTTCCAATTTATCAATAAGAGTGTTAAATTTTATATAGTAACACATTTACTAGTTTAATCAGTTTATCTTTCTTAAAACAATCTTTTCGTGCAAAATTTTAATTTATGCGTACTCACGATTTATCAACAAGAGCTTTAAATTTTTTTTTTTAAATTCATGTAATAACACATTTACTAATGTAATCCGTTTGTCTTACTTGAAAATAATTTTTACATATAAAATTACAATTTATACGTACTCGCAATTTATCAATAATAGTTTTAAATTTTCTTTAAATTCATGTAATAACACATTTACTAGTTTAATCAGTTTGTCTTTCTTAAAACAATCTTTTCGTGCAAAATTCTAATTTATGCGTACTCACAATTCATCAACAAGAGTTTTAAAAATTCAATTTCGATTGTTACAACTCTACTGGTTCAAATAATTTAATTTTTAATTTTTGAATAATTCTTTTGTTTATAGATACGATTTTACACTATTTCTGAGACTATTTAATTGTTTTTGATAATATCACCGCCGTCTTAGTTAAATAAATTCCGCTGCTGCTAACGCCAGGAGTTTTCCTTTTCACGACCGCACATAACCAGACAAGAGAGCTTCTTCCAAGTGTACGCAACTTTTATACCGTCAACGATCAACGGTGCCAGCTGTTGGTACGTTAAAGTTCAACGACCGTTGATCGAAGCTCGTGAACTGATCCCTCTGCAATGCACCAGCGAAAGTCTAGCTTTAGGGCGAATTCTACTTTTCCCTCTCATGTGGAAGCTGGAACTTGTTCTTTCTTTAAGCTTCGCCCTAGTTCTACACCTTTTCCACAAAAGCTTTCTTCGTTTGACAGCTCGTGTTGTTTTGTTTTGATTTTGTTCTATTTTTTTTTTTTTTTACAACGTGTTGTGCCGGTGAACGTGTGTATTTAATTCTATTAATTAGAAAATTATTTTAAAATTATTTTATTTTCCAATAAAGTTCCAGCAAAATAGAACACCCAACGATAGCTCAAGATATGTGCATTATTGTTTTATTCAAATATATTTGTTATGCATTAACAAATAACTTTCATGCAAGTTCAGAATTTGTCAAATGCAAAAATGACGTCGCTGATGGCAGAGGATCGCGGTGAGTTGGTTAAGTTAATGTGCTTATCCGTACTTAACAAATTTTATTTTTCAATGCAGGAACCGTCGATTATATGAGTTCAAGTGAGTGTTTCTTGTTGTGTGTTAGGTGGTCGTGTTGTGTTTAGTAGACAGCTATACCCACGACGTTGTAACGATCAAATTTTTGGTTGACAAAATTTTGGCCGTTACACTCCCTCCTTTCTTTCGGGAAACGTGATTTGCCCTGAACCATTACCTGCCAGCGTGATTTCTGTGACGTTGCTTTGGACTCTTATATATTTTATAGAAGTCGTATTGCTCTTTGATGTGGTGATCGTCTTGTTGAAATACACTTCGATGTTTCACTTGTTGCTGTCGACTTTGAATACTAGGTGGATTTTTCGATGCGTGATACTCGTAACATACTCCTACTTGTTTTAGAAGGCGGATTGTTTTTTCCTTTTGCTGTGGTAGTTGTGTTAATGGTAATGATTGGGTAAGACTAAGTATTTCATCATATATTTGACCTTTTGTCGAATTTGTTTTGATAATGTTATCCTTTTGCTTCCATGGTATTAGCGAAGTCTTTGACGGTGGTTGTTCTTGCGAGATGTTAAACACTTCTTGTACTGCGTGCTCTGGGGTATCTAGTAGCTGTTTTCCATCTGGACCTGGCGTTACACTGATAGGGCTTGCACTTCGGTGTCGTTGTACTTCTTCCATGCTACTAGGTCTTGAATCTTGCTGTTGTGGCACGTGCTCATGTATATCTTGCTGTTGACCAAATTCTGCTGGCATTTCGTTGAATTTAAGATTTGGTTGTCGTGGTATTTCTGGTATTTGCTTTTTGATATGTTTTAGATCTTGATGCTGTGCTGCTTGTTCTTGTGTAGCTTGACGTTGTTTTACATCAGGTGCTACCATGATGGGACTTGGATCTCGGTGTCGTTGCGCCTTTTGTACACTATTAGGTCTCGGATCTTGTTGCTGTGTTACTTGCTTCATTTGAACTTGTAATATTTCCTGTTTTTGTATGACTCGTGGTTGACAATACTCTGCTGACATTTCTTTGACTTTAGGACTTTGTTCTTGTTGTACTTCTGGTATTTGCACTTTGATAGGTCTCGAATGATGCTCTTGTTGCATTTGTTTCAATTGAACTTGCAATGTTTCTTGATTTCGTATTACTCGCTGGTTATTAAACTCTGTTGACATTTCTTTGACTTTAGGACTTTGTTCTTGTTGTACTTCTGGTATTTGCAGCCTGATTGAACTCGGATCTTGCTCTTGTTGCATTTGTTTCAATTGGACTTGTAATGGTTCTTGCTCTTGTGGAACTCGCTGTTGCTTAATTATTTTTGGATTTTCTGGGATTAGTTTGCGATCTTGTGGTGATACATGATGTTGTTCCGCGTCATTTCGATGTCGCATGCTTTGTGTTGGTATGCTTGCTGCAGTAGTTGAAGTAAAAATTCTAGATGTTTCTGCAGGTGTTTGCTTGGCGATTGGCTGGTGTTGCTGCTGGTTGCGGAAAGGTGACTTGGAGACTGGACTATGAATGACTTTATCACATTTCGGTGTATTGGCTATGCGTCTCATGGTCTTCTGTGTTATCAGCGGTCGTGCACATTCCACTGCTACGCGCCCGAAGACTACCTCGCTATCTCGTGCTCGACTTACTTCATTCTGCTCTTCGCGTAGTTCTTCGAAGTCCTCAGCTAGTGCTATTAATTCCTTTAGACAAGTGAAATTCCGACGTTTGATGTATATTTGGTACTCTGTGCTCATGTTGCGATATACTCGTTCTAATTGTGACTCTTGATTTAAACCTGCGTGTCGCATTAGTTTTTGTAGTTCCAAAAGATAAATTTTAAACGTCTCTCCTGGTTTCTGCAATCGATTTCTTAGTTCGTCCTCCAATCGCTCGAAATATTGATGTGGCAGAAAGAATTTCAGAAAATCTCTCTTGAACGCTTCCCAGTGATTCCAGTCTTTCTTATTGTATCTAAACCACACCAAACCTTGTCCATCTAGTAACAGGGGCATTGTCCGAGGCAACATGTTCGTTGATATGGCATACAGATCCGCTAATTCTTCCAGTCGCTCGATAAACGTCAATGGATCGCTGTTGTCATCATACCGGATCGCCCATTTTCTGACCTGGTCAATGACGCTTGCCTGTGTGTTCCTTTGAGGAAGATACGAGTGTACATCACATTGCGGATGTGAATGTAACTGCCTTGCTGTTGTATCGCTGATCATGCTATGTCGCTCTGATGTTTCACTATATTCTCTGTCGTGTGTATATTCCATGTTGCTTTCCCTGTGTTACGAAGTTTGTTATTTACCGCCGCAAGTCTTACATTATTCCGTAGTATCCAGCCCGAATTCTCTGAGGTTCTTAAGTCATGTTTTCGTAAAATATAAAAAATATTTACGACCTGCCCATGTTAGTTGTGTGTATATCACCTCGTTATTGATATTGAAACAGTTGCTATTCGAGTCGTGAAGTGCTGGTCTCAGGGTCCCTGCTCGGGCGCCACTTGTAATGAACCCTTTTTGGTTCGTTTAAAGCTGGGGTTGAACTCAGCCGTCCCCAAGGTCCACACAAGAAATTTATTTAGTGAGACCCCGTCACTTCTGATTGCTCTTAATTACAGATACCTAGGTTCGAATACCAATCGGAATCACAGACACAAAGGAATCACTTGACTGAAATAGACACGATATAATACCAGCACGCGTGACTGTTAAAGCTACGTGAGTGGTATTACAGGTCGCTGATCACACGCCCTTCCCTGTTCACTGTTAAAGCGCCCAGGGGCCGGAGACGTTAGGTGACTATTAAAGCTACCTATCGTTTCCGACACTATGGTATAGACTCACGTGACTATTAAAGCTACGTGAGTTATACCCCGTACAACCGAGATTCAGTTACTATTGAAGCCCCGAATCTTTCTTACCTGTGTCTCTCACTTGTGTCGTTGTGCTGAATTCCTACCTTGATTTTACACCGATCAGGAGAAGCTAGTTTGTGTTGAACTCTATCAAAGCGGTAGTTATACCTATGAGCCCTCGCTATTATACCTGTTTTGCTTTTATTTTAATAAAACACTTTTTTTCCAATTTATTCGCTCGTTTAGTTTTTTATTTTATTCATTAAATTTATTAATATTCATTTTATTATCAAATAAATAGCTAAATACAAATTTAGTTTTATTTTATTTTTTTTTTTTTTAAATTAAGTACTCTTTACTCTACTTTAAGTCTTTACAATTTATCAATAAGAGTGTTAAATTTTATATAGTAACACATTTACTAGTTTAATCAGTTTATCTTTCTTAAAACAATCTTTTCGTGCAAAATTTTAATTCATGCGTACTCACAATTTATCAACAAGAGCTTTAAATTTTTTTAAATTCATGTAATAACACATTTACTAATGTAATCCGTTTATCTTACTTGAAAATAGTTTTTACATATAAAATTACAATTTATACGTACTCGCAATTTATCAATAAGAGTTTTAAATTTTATATATTATCACATTTACTAGTTTAATCAGTTTGTCTTTCTTAAAACAATCTTTTCGTGCAAAACTTTAATTTATGCGTACTCACAATTTATCAACAAGAGTTTTAAAAATTCAATTTCGATTGTTACAACTCTACTGGTTCAAATAATTTAATTTTTAATTTTTGAATAATTCTTTTGTTTATAGATACGATTTTACACTATTTCTGAGACTATTTAATTGTTTTTGATAATATCACCGCCGTCTTAGTTAAATAAATTCCGCTGCTGCTAACGCCAGGAGTTTTCCTTTTCACGACCGCACATAACCAGACAAGAGAGCTTCTTCCAAGTGTACGCAACTTTTATACCGTCAACGATCAACGGTGCCAGCTGTTGGTACGTTAAAGTTCAACGACCGTTGATCGAAGCTCGTGAACTGATCCCTCTGCAATGCACCAGCGAAAGTCTAGCTTTAGGGCGAATTCTACTTTTCCCTCTCATGTGGAAGCTGGAACTTGTTCTTTCTTTAAGCTTCGCCCTAGTTCTACACCTTTTCCACAAAAGCTTTCTTCGTTTGACAGCTCGTGTTGTTTTGTTTTGATTTTGTTCTATTTTTTTTTTTTTTTACAACGTGTTGTGCCGGTGAACGTGTGTATTTAATTCTATTAATTAGAAAATTATTTTAAAATTATTTTATTTTCCAATAAAGTTCCAGCAAAATAGAACACCCAACGATAGCTCAAGATATGTGCATTATTGTTTTATTCAAATATATTTGTTATGCATTAACAAATAACTTTCATGCAAGTTCAGAATTTGTCAAATGCAAAAATGACGTCGCTGATGGCAGAGGATCGCGGTGAGTTGGTTAAGTTAATGTGCTTATCCGTACTTAACAAATTTTATTTTTCAATGCAGGAACCGTCGATTATATGAGTTCAAGTGAGTGTTTCTTGTTGTGTGTTAGGTGGTCGTGTTGTGTTTAGTAGACAGCTATACCCACGACGTTGTAACGATCAAATTTTTGGTTGACAAAATTTTGGCCGTTACACGCCTACAAAATAGTGTCAGGAGACGCCACCGGTGTCCTGGCCAGCATACCGCTAATCGAGCTGATCGCGAGCAAGCTGCAAAAGATTTAATACGACAGAACTAGCAGAGAGGACGCTAGAAGGCAAACAATTTAGATCTGGCAACGTTAATGGTCGAGTTTGAAAAAGGGAAGGTGAACCTTTTTACTCATCCCCGATGTGGAAAGATGGACTAAGAGAGGACATGATGAGGATAACTTTTACCTAACGCAAGCTCTGGCAGGTCACGGCCACTTCAAGGTCTTCAGACATGTTACCTCAATGTGGTTCTTGAAAAGCTTTTCGTCCAGATGAGAGGAGTTTTTAGGGCGGTTGAAATCACTAATCAGACTTTCGAGCTTTTCTTCCATTCAACAAAAAACAAAACCATATCAAAAATTTCAATACATTTTTTGGAGAGATGATGTTATCAGTTACGAGTTGAACACAGTCACTTATGGTACTGCATCAGAACCTTTCATAGTTTACAGTATTTGGCGGACAAGTATTAAGCACAATATAAAACTGGCGCTGTACTGATTAAATCGTCGTTCTTTGTCGATGACTCATCAAAATAAGACATCAGATCACATTGTAATGAAACACAACATCCTGTCACTTGCGTCTTCATTGTTTAACCCGCTTGGGCAACTAGAACCTCTCATACTTGTTGCAAAAATGATGATGCAAAAATTGTGGCTTCTTTGCGTGGACTGCGATGAGTCAGTTCCTTAAAATCTTCACTCAACTTGGAAAGCATTTGTTCAAGACGTTTCATTGCTTTCTTCCGTTAAAATTCCGAGATGGAGAAATGATTGTCAAAATGGCGAATTAAAATTAATGGACTAAAATATAAACACGTAATTTTTACGTTTAATCGGAGTATCTCCAACAATTTTACTTAATAAAATTCCCATACCACAAGCTGCTAATATAACATACTTAAATATTCACAGGTGACTAGCTTGGCGGAAATTTTTTTGCTTTATACTTTGTTATAACATCATCACATAACCCATATGAACTTATGGAAGTCATATATTTGGAAATGCTAGTGCTTCAAATATTGAAATTATTCATAGAGCTCAGCCAAAAATACTGGTGCCCCATAGTATATTACAAATTTCCTTATTTGAAGCTGAATTTGACAATATAAAAAAAAGTACAATAAAATGCTGTCAGAACAGAACATGTTACCGCCTTAGCTAAAAGTCTCGCACTTCTATCCACTACTTCTTAAAAAGAGCTGACCGTCTAGCCTTTAATTAAAATTCAATAGGTACACGTAAAAATCCCAGTCTTTCCTTAGCGATCTTATAAAGCTCAATTATTTTTTTAATAAGCCTCCTAACATTCACTTCAATGAATTTTAACTCATTGATTTAAGTGGGGTTCGTAATATGAGGTTTACTTGTTTTAATTTATAGTATAAAATAAAAGTTATAATATTATGTAATTAGTGATCTTCTAATTGTAAGAGAAGATACAATAAATAAATGTACACGTATTTAAAAAAAAATTTGAGGTGTTTCGTGCAGGTGAATAACTAAACAGCTTATTGTTATATTTCGAAGCTCGCCACCCAACGGTACTTAATTGACATTATTATGGCACAAAGATAACTTATTTCCATAGAAGTAATTTACATTTCGGGCAAAAAACTGTGCTCATCACAATTCGCTTGCAGTTTTGGTATTTTGATGAGTAAAAACCTGTAACACGGATCATCAATAAATGCATTCGTAGGTTTTACCCCAATCAAAAATATATAGAATATATAATAAGAGTTCCATTAATCGTTATCGCTAAAACTCCAATCTCTTCGCTCAAATTATTATACAAGCAATTCGTTTATTTTAGGAGAATTAGCAATCGTACGATTCTGCTAACATAATCTCTTCGATAAATTTTTCCGGCGATGTGGATAATGCTGAAATGCATTGAAATGTCAAAATAAAAACAAAAACAAAAATTGCAAACAAATATCAGTTATTGAAATTATAATATAAATTTAAAATTTAAAAGCAGATACTACACAAAAAAAGTGTTTAGCAATTGTGAAATTAAAATTTAAAATTAATATAACACTGATTTGTGGATTAATAATTAAAATAATGGATTATTTAATAAGATATTTTTTTTTTGGTGAGACGAGAGATTACGTTGCACTATATCATACCACTATATCATTTACATTGCAAAAAAAAATATTTGCGAAACTCTACAGAATCCTCCACTATATCTAATCCGCGTTTTATTAAAATATTTCCTCTTTCGAAATATTTATGTAAGCATAAGAACCCGTACCTGAAGCCTTTATAGCAAGAGGAAATAATCAACATTTATTTTCAATATAAATTGGTTTTTATTTAATTGAGTTTTAATATTATTAAAATATATATCTTTTTTTTTGTTAATATTTTAATATTATTTTATTTATAATAAATTGTTATTGTGGCCAATATTCAATACTTTTTTTAATTTCTGGGCTTAGGTCGTTAATTTAACACATAAAAATTACATTTATAAATTTGTGTGAAATATTTAATTGTATTTTAGTTTTAATAAAAACTTATTTGTATTACAGATATTTCGGTTTACTTCGTAAACCATCTTCAGTGTACAATAAGGAACAAAAACCGTAAAAAAAACAATTATTTTATTAATAAAAAGAAGCGCAAATGTCGACATCACCCCTGAGGTATTGCACATAATGCCAAAAACCGCCAAAAACAATCAAATTAGGAGAAATTTTAGTCGTTTTTAACGATATTTGGCGACTGCCAATTTACAAGAATACGATATTTGGAGATTCAGCGTTTTATCCGGACCAATCAGCTGTTTTTGAAAGTTGAAAAAATTAGCGAATAAAAATTAAACGTAACGAGTTAGCAGAATCGCAAAAGTCGCTAAAATGCATTTAAAGAATTTTAGCGATAGCGATTAGTGGAATCGGCCTGCAGGTGCTGCTTTTTGTGGTGTCTTCCATCACAAATTTTATGTACGAACTATACATGATATAGTTGCTTTGCATTTTGACAAAGGCTGTCCACTTGGTGAAAGACTAAACTACGTTATTATTTTTAACTGTATTAAAATGTTTTACTTGTATACGTAGAAATACCAAAATAATATGGTCCGGCAATACTACAAATTTTGTTCCCAAACAATCTGTATCTTAAAAATGTTTATCAGCATTATCTAATTAATGGCAAGGGGGACAATAGAAGTTTATACCACCTAGATTTAAATACCATACTTTGGGAAAAGTTTTGTTTTATAGCACAGTTGGTGTTACTTACTCAAATATTTTTGTGACAGTACTGTGTAGTCATTCTGCACTACAATACAAGATTGCACAAAATTATTTAGTTATTTTGCCAATAGAATCATTTAAAAACATTTTATTTAAAAATGAAAATTTTTTCTCTATTCACTCTACTCTATCCATTTTTAAAATATTCACATCAACATTTTTGTTTACCGCTTAACAGCTGACTGTTTGGCAGCTACCTTAAAAGTGCTTTTAATTTAAAATTTAATTTTAAAATCAGTTTTAATAGTGATTTTAAGATTCGCGTAAATGTCTTGCAATGTTAGCAATGTTTGCTTAATTTATCCTAAATTTGTTAATAAAATATCTGTAATTAATAAGTAATATGTATAATATGTCTGACAATAACAATCAATTTGTGTTAAAGGGTATCAGTAGAAATCAGAATTTAATGAAATTGCATATTTTTATTTTACATCCTACATATGTCGAAGTTGCAAACAAATTCATTTCATAGACAAAAAAAATATTTTTTTTTGTAGAAGTTCACAATCATTAGTACAAATATGTTTTCAACATATTTATAAAATCCTTGTTTTAGTTTGCAGAAATATTAGTCTTACAAAGTGAAATTCTTACGGATATACATATATACATATGTATATATATATGTATTTTTTTTATATTTGTATTCTATAAGATATATTTAAAAAAAGCGCAAAGTGTGAACCATCGCTTCTTGGCATTGGTTTATAATATTTTATAAGGAACGACCCAATCCTTTGATGATCTTTAAATTCGTTTTTGAAATTTCTGGAATCTAGAATCTGAGGAATCTAGAAGCTGCGAGGAAATTAATCTTTGAATTTTTGCAAATATATTTATATATACTATATATTTATATATAAATTTATATATATATCACATATATACATTTATAATATATACATATATATCGCTTTAAATCGACTGAAAACATTAAATTGGCATATCGACATATTGTTATACAATATTAATTGTTATTAGTAAATAATTTATTTAGTACAATGTTTTTAATAAATACTGAATTTGTATTAATTATATTGGTTTTCATGTAGAGTAGTATAATATAAACCTCTTCTTCTTCTTCTTTATTTTGGATTAAAGCCTGTTTTGTTACAACAATTGAATTGGATATATATATGAAAAATTTTGAAATATCAAATTATTATGTTTCTTCAGAGCCAGAATATTATGTTAATATTAACCTATGGTTAATATTTGAAAATTCTAAATTTCAACGGCTAAATTCAAGCAATAATCTTAAAATTTAATATTTCAAATCTTTTACCTTGAAGCAATTCTTTATGAATATTTAAATTTAGCTAAAAAAACTACTTGAGAACACATTTGTAACGTACATACATATGTGTTATTGTGTTCATATATTTATCATTTGTATACATTTTGCATATGCAATTTGCATAGAATTCCGATTTCTGGTCAAGAGCTGCGTTTACATTTGAGAACTTGTATTATTTTTGAATAAACAATCTATTCGCAGTTAGACACTAGGACAGAAGAGCTAGGATATAAATAAACACCTTTGCATAAGAAAAAATGTTTAAAAGAAAACAAAAACAAAATCAACAAAAACTATTTAATAAATGTCAGAAAAGAACTGAACTACAGTTCAGTGCAAACAGCAATCGTTATCTTCTTGTTTTGTATTCCCTACTTTAATTATTTTACACCATGCAAGTAATGCTCTCATATATGAAACAAGTACTTACATTATTCGTTTGGTATAACTATTAGCCCATATTGAACTGGCATATACCAAATTACGGTATCGTTATGCAGTGAGAGAAAGAGAGTGGAAATGAGAGAGCTTTACGTAGTTCTGCAAGGGTTTTGAACGTATTTAATTCAACTACCACCATTGCTGTTATTTTAACCCCGTTTTTGTAACAATTTTCAGTATTACGAATTTATCGTTCTTATCGAAATGATTTGAAGTTTCGTGCATTCAAACTGACGGAATTAATAGAAATAAATATATATTAAATAATAAGTGCTTTGTAAGAATAAGTAAATTCGTTATTTAGTTTCATAAGCAAAAAGAAACAAACATTTTTTGACATTGTTATAATTCTGGGATAACAATATGTAACCAAAATCATGAATGGTTTTCTTGCACTGATGTGTTCACTTAACAATAAAACAATTTGTAAGTATCTTATATTCTTCATCCTCAGCACTATTAAAAGTTTTAACAAAAGAAAACTTCAAACAAAAAATAAAAAACAAATTTGTTTTTATTGTTTTTATGTAACTCAATTAATAAGTGAAATAAAATAAAAAGTGATATAAACATCACAGTTGTCTTAAATACGAACAAAGTGAAGAAGTGAACAAAGTGACATTCTCCCAATAATAATTTAGTTGTGTTCCATATCAAGTATAACAGACAAATTACAACAAAAATTAGAGAAGGAAAGCTGTTTGCAGCACTGCCCGCAATATATCTGCAGTTTGAGAAATAACCCAACGCTTACATAAAGCTTGGCGTGTCATACTTTTGTAATGCGAAATAGGCAATGTAATGCATTTACGTTAACAAAAAAAACTATGCATAATTGGCATAAAATAAATAATTTGTTAAGAACAAAAACACAAAAGTTTGATAAAAAAATATTAGTCCATTACTAGCATGAATACAATACAATATTTAGAAAATGAAATATATAATCAAAATAGATTTTTCAAATTAGTTTGATAAGCATGCAACCAGATTTAAATTTAAGTTTAAGCATTTAAGCAGCTGTTGCAAGAGACGTGCACGTATGTTAGTGATGTGTGATGTGAAGGGCTATGACAAACATTGGTTAGTTAGTGCTTATAAGAACACTTCAGTGAAGCCTTGACCTTAATAAACAAGTCCTTAAATAAAAATAATAATGATGCCCTTCTGATTAATGCTGTGTTCATGTATTCATTTTAGAATTAAATTAATCGGTATTGGCGTTGGTAATTAAAATAAGCAAGTATGATTGACCCCAGTTCGAGCGAAGAGGAAGGAGACGACGATCCTGTTGTTATTCCTGTCACCAAAGGAAGAGTAAATGTTGCCGCAAATAAACAATGCACAACTGCGACCGATTTAAATAATATTGTAGTTAGTCAGCATAACGGGGAAAACGCCACATCTCATAATCAAGTTCATAAGGTAGCAGGAAGTATCAATACAGCAGCGCACAACAATGTTGATGCTTCTGCCAGTGGAAATGCGAGTTTCAATAAAAGCGAAAATGCCATGAACTCAAAGGTTGGAAGTGATGCATCAGCAAACCTTGAAGTACCACAGAATGCCATCCCTAGGTAATGAAGAAAATATCTATTAAATGTTTTAGCATAAGATATTGATTAATTATACTTGCGACTTCTTCCATTATTATCCTCGAGTTTTGCTTTACTAATTAGTTAATCTACATAACCTTTTCGTCAAATTTTATGTTTTGCTATTTTTTACATGCTTCGTTTTTTTGTTTTTGTTTTGAACATGTATTGCTAAATATTTTTTAATGTTAAGTTATTATTATTATTTGTGCTGACTTTAATATTACGAGTAGAACTGAAATTCTAAATTTTTGAGTGCCAGAACTCTGAATGAACTATTAATAATAATTTCATTAATAATTTCATTAAAAATTCTCCATAAGTTTGTAGATTATACATACCTCGCAAATTTTAACATATATCCGATCGCAAACATAATTAAACATGTGTCCTAATAACACAGTTAAGTTGGTAAAATCGTTTCGTTATGTAATATGGTGTTCACACTAGTTCTCGGAAAACATAAATCTGCAAATTGTTTATAGAAATGCGTTTATACTATGATTAGTGTTCAATTTCGATCAGCATTTTTTAATTTTGTACTCTTCGTAAAAATTTACTTAAATTTTATGATTTAAGTGTAAAAACTTCCCTAGTTTTATAATGTTTGTTTTTGAATTTATGTTTAAAAATATTTTAGGGCCATCGATTTAATTCAAAGATAAAGTAATGTTCTTTAATATCAAAAAGCCATCCTTACGAAAAAGTACATACTGTAACTACTAAAAAATTATTAAAATTAAAAATTAATTATTTATGTCTAAAAAGCAAACTAAAAAACTTTTAAAAACTATACTTTAAGAATATAATATATGTATACGCATAAAGCTTGTGCATAACATTAATCATTTTAAACTTAGTAATGAGCTCATTCTTTATTATTTGATCTGATCCGTATCTCTCATTCTATCCTTATGCCTCTATAATCAATTTGATAGTATGTAGTACATTATCCTGAGGATTCACAATTAGATCGTACAATTTTACGATATATAAAAGTGTTTAAAACATGATTGATTGATTTACTAGTGTTATATATGCCAGATCGCTCCCAACCACGGTTTGAAAGTAATTCTTCTTAGGTTTCATTAGCGAAATTATTGACTGCTATCGGATAGGAAATTTCTGCCTAACATCTCTCTACCGAAAGAGAATATATTATTTCATATAATATAAGTTCAAAGTATACAAAGCAATAATATAAAAATTACAGTATTTTTCCACTCTGTTGCTTCATTTTTGCAATTTATTATTTATCAAAATTGTTGCATACTGAAAATTTGTATGCCAGTATAGGTAATAATATATACATATATTTATATAATGTATAACATGTATAATATAATGTATTATATAATGTATAATAATTTGTTGATATGAATTGTAATATGTGTTCATTTATCCTTTTTTAACAAATCCTTTTAAATCCTTTTTAAATCTTTTATGTCAACAAAAGCAGCTATATAACCAGAAAGTTCTGGCAAACCCTTTTGCACTCACTCAGTATATCTTTCAATTATATAGTAAAATTAATTACCAGAAGAATAACTGTGCTCAAAACTTTATATTTAACCAAATATCACTTCCAGCAAATAACGTTCTTTCATTTATTCCATAAACACTCACAATAAAAAAAACTGCCATGTATAAAGAAATACTTAAGCTAATTCAACAAAATACCTCCTGATGTCGATAGTAAATACAGCTATAGATCGCATATAGATGATTTATAGATATATTTAACACCCGTTTTTGACGAAAGAAATTAAATTTTTAAAATAAATTATTGTTTATAATAGAGAGGTTGTTCAATAAGTCGTTTCTTATTGAAACTGAATCGACACTTGAATCGATTCAGTGTTGCTTATGGTTAGGAATCTGGCACTTGAACCAGTTCCTATTGCAAGGTCTGAATTTGGCACTTAAACCAACTTCAGGTGGATTCAAACAATAACAATATTTTTTGAGCAACTAGGCACATGAACCTATTTGCAATTGAGTTTTAATAAGCACTTGAACTAATTAAAACGCAAGGGCTGTTCTGTATTGAATGAATAAATTTATTACAAAATATTGTGTTTTTATACAAAATGCTTAACACTAAGCATAACACTATGGTAAAAGAGCAAATGCACCTAGTTCCCACGATTTGTTATCCGATGGACTTTGAACATTCAAGGCCAAGGGCACTCGTGGAAAATATGTGCATTTCCTATGCTTATACAATTTGATGCAGTCAGCAAGCTGGTATATGTATTTTGCCATATACCAACTTGCTTCACAAATTTGGTGACTTAAATGTGTTATCACTTGTGCCATGCGCCAACTCTTATTGCACCTGTGGGAACAACAGAATTGTCGCAGCGGCTTGCCTATTGCTGCAACTCACAACGAACACACGATCAAAGAAAACGAACATGATGCCTATCAACCTTGCACAGTGGCGTGTGAAGATCATCATGTTACGTCTGGCACGCTGATAGCGTGCGAATATTTAGTTGTGAGAGCCAGCAACATTGCTAAAATATTTGATAACACAATTAAACCCAACAACCAAAACAACATAAGACACTAATTTAAAATACTTATTTATACATATACTGAATACAATAATACAAATAATACAAATATTAATACAAATACAATGCAAATAATTATTTTAATTGATATTTATTTATACTAAAAATTAATATAAGCTTAACATTTATGTCCAAATTGGACATTCTGCCCCCGTTGACGCCAGTCAATCCTCTTCTGCTACTTCGACCTTGGACATTGCATGTTGCTGTTGAGTTTTGCTCGTTTTCTAGGCTGTTCTTCATCACATCTATCAAGTTGCATCATGGGGGTTGAACAATCTTCCGACAATAATGGTGCTAGCCGATGTATTGGACGCTTCCAAATCCCGTTTTTCGTTTTGACATCTACAACTCTGATTCTTCCATCATTACCGGAATAGCATTTGATGATTCTGCCCAGAGGCCATTGAAGCGGAGGAGCGTTGTCTTCTTGAATGATTACCAGCATTCCTTCTTTGACGTCAGGTGATTGGTCCTTCCATTTAGTGCGACACTGTAGCTCATTAAGATACTCCTTTGACCATCTTGACCAGAACTCGTTTTTTAGATGATTCACCAGCTTCCACCTGGTTAAAAGCGATTGTTTGGTTGTAGTTTCTGACCTACTTGGAAGGGCTGTTAGCGGTTCTCCTATTAAGAAGTGTCCTGGGGTGAGGGCAGCCGGGTCATTTGGATCTGATGACAACGGTGTTATTGGTCTGGAGTTTAGCATACTTTCAATTTGGGTTACCACTGTTTCCAATTCCTCGTAAGTGAGTGACACGTTGCCAATAGTTCGCACCAATAGATATTTAGCTGATTTGACAGCAGCTTCCCATAATCCTCCGAAATGTGGTGCTCTCGGAGGTATAAAATGAAAAGCAATTCCTTGAGCTGAACAGGATCTTATTATGTTGTTTTTAGCATTTGTGCTGTGAATGCTTTCAGCTAACTCGTTCATTTGATTTTTAGCGCCCACAAAATTAGTCGCGTTGTCACAATATAAGTTCTGACATCGACCTCTTCTTGACGTAAACCGGTTCAAAGCGCCTAAGAATGCATCTGTAGTGAGATCACTAACAACTTCCAAATGTACTGCATTCGTGGAGAAGCAGCAAAACACTGCGATGTACGCTTTGCATGGTCTTTTGCCTCTAATTTTGTGGTGTATCCATATGGGACCACAGAAGTCTACACCTGCGTTGAAAAAAGGTCTTTGAGCTTGGACTCTGTCAGCTGGTAGATTGCCCATGATTTGTTTGAACATGTGTGGGCGTACTCGAGTGCATTGTACACAATGTTGCACAATGGATCGAGCCATAATCTTGCCTTTTATTGGCCAAAATCGCTGCCTGCACTGGGCTAATAATGTTTGCGGTCCGCAGTGAAGTCCCTTCTCATGTAAATGTTTTATTATGAGCTTAGCTATTGGATCGTTATATGGCAGCAGCATGGGGTGTTTGGCATCGTAGGTAAGATGTGATGACGTCAATCGACCTCCAACCCTGATGACGCCACTATCATCGATAAATGGAGAAAGTCCGTGGAGACTACTGCTTCCCTTCAGATCCCTTTTCTTTAAGAGTTGATGTCGTTCTTCATTGAAATCACTTAGCTGTATGGCTTTTATAATTATGAGTAATGACTCATCCAGTTCTAATGGTGTCAAATTGATGTCGCTGTGCTTGCTCTTATTACGTAACCCTTTGATGAATCTCAACACATAGCCAAGAATTCGTTGCAACCTTATGAATGAGTTTCCATGCCTTATCGTATAAATCATTTTGATTAGTTCATCATCATGTGAAATTGTAAGCACATGTACCTTCCTTTTGACTTCCGCTTGTATATGGTCGGATGTTATCAATTCCTGACGGAATGGTTGGGGCCAGCATTCCTGATTTCCATGAAGGAAAAGTGGCCCATAAAACCACATTGCATTCTTCTGAATGTAAATTGGATCTACACCTCTGGATAATAAATCAGCTGGGTTTTGTTTAGTATTGACATGCCTCCACTGTTCCTTCAGTGTTAATTGCTGAATCTTACTGATACGATGAGCAACGAAAGTTTGGAATGTTGATGGTTCTGACTTGATCCAATGCAATGTTATCTCAGAATCAGTCCACATATATATCGGATGATGTTCATATTCCAAATCCTTTTTTACCTTTACTACCAATTGTGCTCCTAGTAAAGCCGCACATAACTCAAGTCTTGGTATTGTCTGCGTTTTTAATGGAGCGACGCGTGATTTTGAACAAAGTAACTGAACTGAGATAGTTCGATCAGTCATTTCGGCTCTGATGTAAATGGCAGCTCCATAGGCCCTTTCGGAGGCATCAGTAAATACATGAATCTGAGTATTCCTTGGTTGTTTATGATGAAATATATGTCGTGGAATCTTCACATTGTTTATTTCAC